TGCCGGAGCTTGGGTGAGGCGTGTGAAGGCGCCTTGCTGCGGGGATGTCTCGTTTGGTAGTCGGTGGGACTGCTTGTTCCTCGAGTAGAGGATAAGAAGGTAGAAAGCAGAGCCCCTGCTTGGGCTGGTGACCGGCGAGCTTTGCTTGGTCACGGGGAGAGGGGTGACTCGGAAGGGCGACGCACCCTGAAACGCAGAGCGTGTCTGTCTTCAGTCCATGTCTTACCTTCGTTGAAATCAGCAGCCTTCTTTGAATGAGAGCCCTTTTCCTTGTTATGTAAAACTGCTGCTGTAGAAGCGTGTGTGTGTATACACACACACTAATACACGTGTTTTCCTATATTTCAGTTTATAAAGTTATACGTGAGGTTTGTACTTGGCATTAAAGCTTGATAAGATGATCTTAAGGTACTGCATTCTTTGAGTACAAGGTCTGGGTTGGTAGTTTATAAGTTTTGTTTGCAAAAGAAGAAGAACCTTTAAGTGTTTGTGCTTGAGTCCTCTTGGAGGAGATCGGCGTGACACATTTGTATCTAGACTTTGTTTCAGAATATAAAAAGCATGTCCTAATGATGGGCAGTATATTGTGTCAACAATCCACTTCCTTTCCTTTTTTTCCTCTTAAGTAAATTGACTGCCAGGAAACAGTATCGGCTTTTGAAAGCAGCAGAGATTGAATAAGCCATGTATTTTACTATGACAGACCCTTGGAAAGATTGCAGTCTGTGGTATTGGTGTAGTTTGTGGACTAAAGGAGAGCAGCGTAACTAGTGCTTGACTAGCTTCTAGTTAGAAGCTGTCCTTTCTGAGTCTTTGCTAGGTGGTGCTTTAGATTGCTGTGGGATAACATGTTCTTCTCCTTTTGTTGTCTGTGGTTTTCCCAATCTATAGTTAAGGAGCTCAGCAGGGGTGATTCTAATGAGAGAGTCCTCTATCTAATTTCTCTTTCATCTGCAAAACTAGGCAGGTGGAAAAGAAACAGCAGAGCCCTGAAATACAGTTGGGGGTTCATGGAAAAGTTTATTCACAGAAAGTTTGATGCTTAATTTTACTCTGTATTAAACGTGATCAGGTAATGTGACTCCTCAGAATTAAAGCTCTGGCTAGTTTTGACGTTGTTTGTAATACTAGGACTAAATGTTGAGTGCTGGCCTAATAGTTCCCAAAAGATGACCTCAGGACCTGGCACTTAACGAAACAGTGTCATTCAAGAACATGGTGCTGACAACATCTGTTCCTCCCACTGAGGTTGCCTTCTCAGTATTGTATTGACCCTTTTGTTTTGTAAAACAGGGTACATTTTTAGCCTGGTGCTCCAAAGGCAATGACTGATAACTTTTAAAGATATTTATACTAGGGTTTGCAATATAAGCACAGAAGTGCTTCGCTACCAAAGCTAGTAGTACAGCCTACTGCACTGAATTCAGGATAACTGTAGGTATTGAGAAGCGTGGGAAGGTAGTTTGCATGGACCTCAGTTGCTTCTCTATTAGATCTGCTTGTGTTATCCTGGAGCCTGTACCACAGATGTATTCCTGATTTCTTTGCTAAACTGAAAAGTGCTCTACAAATGATAATTTTATTGTTTGTAGTCTAACATACTGTAGAACTCTTTACTAGTTTTAAAACTTGATGTTCAATTTCCTTTTTCTTTTCCTGGGTGTGTGATGCATTCCACTTCCTTTCTTTGCATGTCAAATCCTACTAGAAGCTGTTGATACTTGGGAACCTTTCCACTGAGTTTAAGATGGAGTATGCTAATGTATATGCCCTTTGAGTCCTTTAACAACAACTGACTTCCACAGTGTAGACTGGAACCTTGCAGAAATGGAATAACTAAACCAGTCATTTAAACTAGATGTCAAGTACTGATGCCATAGTTCCGCGTACGCTTTAAACTGGCTTGGCTGCCAGAAGAAACCGGCCTTCCTCGCTCCAGCCATTCATAAATGTTGTGTCCACACAAGAGAGCAAGTGGCATGGGGGCAAAACTACTTTTGGTGACCATGCTGGATTAAACCAGCTCAAAGTGGCTATCAGACTAAGTGTTAGAGTGCAAAAATTGGCTCTGTGGGCAGGATGAGGTCTCTTTGTAAATAACAGTAGCTTTTGCTGTCTGTGATCTGCTAGTGGACTATATAGTTGCGAGAATCTGTGCTTGAAGGTGGTGGTGGTGAGACAGACCTTCAAGCTCTCAAAAAACTTTAGTTTGCTATTGTGAAAGTTTTCTGCTTTCACAGTTACTGTTGCAATTTTTAGGGCTTATCTGCAGTACCTCTACTCTCTGTACTCAATTTATTGCTTTAGTGGAGTTGAAACTACTTGTATCATTTTAGAGTAGTTTATTGACAAATAGAATAAATCCATTCAAACTCAAGTTAATAGCTACAGGGAGCAGCTGCAAAGCAGTTCGCTTTTAGTGATTCAGCAATATGTATCAACAGGTGCAATGCAACCTTGTTTGTTTTAGAAGTATAATCGGTGAGAAAACTGTTGCAAAATATCAGACCTATTCAGAAGGAATAGTTTTATTTTTATGCTTTATTTCCAGGCCCCAGCTTACCATCTCATTTTGGAAGGAATTCTAATACTGTGGATAATCAGACTCCTTTTCTCCAAGACCTATAAGCTTCAAGAACGATCTGATCTGACACCTAAGGTATGTTGGAAAAATATTCTTCTTTAGAGTATCAGTTTATAGCTGTTCGTGTGTTTGGACGTCAGTGAGTTGAGCCACTGTTGCATCACAAATTGGCCTAGAGTTTTTTTGTTGTTGTTGTTTGTGTGTGGTTTTTTTTTTTAATGAGGCTTTCAAAGAGTTTCTTACTTTGGAGTAATTAACTGCTTATTACTTAAATACTTGAGATCTTGCTCTTAAAGTAAACGCTGTAGTGGACAACTTAAGTATAAAAGAATGGATATTACCATAGAAGGACTGCTGAGCTATGAAAACAATAACTCTTGGAATTTAAAGTGGTAAGTGAATTCCAGGGATATTTTGTAGTTTATTAGGGGGAGGGTGGTGGTCCTTTTGTAATGCAGTTGTCTCAAACAAGGCTGTAATAGTGGGTGCAGACTGAAATTTCTCCCTGAGTTCTAGCTGGAGACTATCAGGAATGAATAGAAATTGTTGTCGAGATTTCCCAGGACTAGTTTGTCTGGGGCATGGTCTGCAATTTGGCTTGCTGCATAATGTCAGAGGATGCAATTGGGCATATTTGAAGGATGATTGGACATATTGTCTTAATGTGAAAATACTGAGATGAGTAAAAAGTCATTAGTTTTCTCAGTGACAGATGTACTATAGGAATGTACTGCAATGTGATAATCAAGTTGTTTCTGTGAGGTATTGCTCCAAAGTCCCAAGTAACTAACAGCTTAATTTACCAGAAATTAAGAGACTGGTATCCTTCATGAATAGCTTAAAAGACTGGAATTTCTTTGTGATGCAGAGGAGGATTTGTGAAACAGATTCATGGAAATTTTACATCAGCACTTTTTATACCTTGTAATCCCTTGTAATATGTATGTAAGCACTTGCATGCTTTGATGTTACTCACACTAAAGATATATGTTAAGCATATGGGCTTTACAGTACAGTGTGTTTCAGGATCATTGAGCAGGATGCAAGGTCTGTAGACATAGGGCTGCAGAGGTGAGCAAATCTGCAGGAAATGTGCCCCTTAGAAAAGGAGTACTTACTAAACAAGCTTAGAGTGTCCTAGCACTGTAATGTGTTTTTATATTAAAAAAAAAAAAGGTAAGAAATGAAGTGAGTGGGAATTGAGCAAAGGCGATTAAGTTTTGTGCTTGAAGAGGCTTATGAATTGATCATCAGATTCTTGATGTTGCATTGTTTATTAAGAATGCAGAGGAGGAGTGAATGCGAGGAGAACTCCAGCCTAGTGAATCACTGAAAGTTTAGATGATCTAGGAGGACATACTTCAGCTTTTTAAATAGCCCCTGATTATCTTCAGATCTACTAGGGAGAAGGCCACTCACAAACTAGGCTAGTTCATTAAATAGAATCTTCTTGTCAGATGGTTTTGATATCTAGTATTTTGGAGAATTACTTTTTTCCTCTGAGAGAGTCATCCTCTTTGCTGTAGGTGGTGGAAATAAGCTCTTTGCTACTCTTGCATCCAACTGGATTCAATAATTGGTGACCTGAGCAAAGCTGAAACCTGTCTTTTCCCTGCAGCATTGGGGATTATACGCGAATAGTTCTGTGTGTGTGTTGAATGTTATCATCTGGTTGCAGGTGATTTCTTTCATGCACTGGCAGACCATTTTACTGAAGGTGTTCACAAAAGTGCTCAGACAAATCTGGAACAATGGTGGGGGGGGGCGGAAATTTTGCTCTGCATCTTTTTAGCTGTGTGCAGTAAGCAATTGGAAGATTGCAAAGGCAGCTTATCTGTTACAGCTGAATGGCAGCACGGGCTCAGAAGTGGGGGAAAAAGGAAGGAAACATTTGGAAATGACTTGTACTTAATCCTGTTTCTGCAGGGTGGTGAGAGTGAAGTCCACTGGCAGAACAATGATAGCAGGCTTTCTGAAGAATAGAGGCATGCAGGCATATTATTGCTGTCCTATTCTGATGAGATTTATGTAACCTTTTTTGAACCCAAGGGGTGGAAAGGAATGTGAATGCTAGCAAGAAACTAAAGTGATCAAGAGTTGGTTGTACAGATACTGGATGTATTAACTCACAGTTGCAAGGCACAGAAGAAAAGAATATGCAGTATGCAAAGAGGTGTATTACAGCAGATGGTTTGACTTAAGATGTTGGAAATGTTACCACCCCTAGCTTCTTGTTTTCTGTATCTTGGTAGTGAAAAGAATATGAGGTGAGCGTTCTTTAGTCTGATGGCGTGGTTAAGCTAGCGGACAATCGATGAAGCTAGATTTAAGCTAGTCTAGTTGACTTTGCTTCTGCCTTCAGAGCTGTGAGGTGGTAATTTTTTCGCTAGGAAGAACAGTGTTTGGAAGGAAATGTCTTGTCTACAGCTGTTGTTTATTGAAAATAAGCATAAATACAGCAGTGCAGTGAGTGAGTGTGTGAGCAAGTCTATTGCAATTGGGGAAAGAAATAAGGAGAATAATATATAATACGTTAGAAATGTGGAGTGAGTCAGTCCCTTTCCTTGAATTAAGGTTAGAGCTGTAAAAAGAACTTTTTAATTTTAGCAGTGGAAACCCCTTAATCTTCACTAAAAATCCTCCAATAGGTGACACTGGTCTGTTTTATACAATATGGGATCCCACATAGAGGCTTTTGTGTGCATGTTGAGCTGCGTGTTGTAACATGTCAGCTGCTCAGCAAGGAGAGCGATGTAACTTGTTTTAGTTTGATTAATGCTGTGGTGTCCACTCTACCACACCAGAAAGAATGACTGGGTTGTTTGGGTACAGGCATTAAAGTTGGGCCAGATCACACAGCAGAGCTCTGACTACCTTTGTGTCAGCCAGCCGTGTAATAATATTTGGAGTTTTTCTGTGAATTATTGTGGGGGATGCTGCCAGAGCAGAGCTGGATCCACGTAATAAAAATTGCCAAAGAATACCACTGTTGCATAACATGATCTATCAGGACCAGCCTATCCTGGGGAACCAGAAGTAGGTGATATATTGTGCAACCTAGTGAACCAGGAGTCATGCTTCTAAGACAGTGAAGAAAACCACCCTAAAGGTGGGTTCTGAGTTTAGTCAAATGTGTAGCAAGAGTGCTTCCAAACCTGTCATCCTTTAATAGAAACATTTCCTGAATCGTTAGCTAGAAAGGCAGAATGCTTCTCTGTGACTGTCAGTTCTTGATAGCTCAGGATTTCAGGAGGTACAAAGAGACAGACAGGATGCTACTTACTTAGATTCTTATGGACTTCTCATCCAAAATGGAATCTCTAGCAAAGTAGCCAAGTGCCAGTGAGCAGTGGAATGGGTTACAGGAGACAGCTTGTAGCAGAACGGTGCAATGCACGCTCTCCAGCCACCAGGCATTTGTATGAAAGAAGCAGCCTGCCAGACGTGACTTTTACTCTGAAATAAATGATACTGAGCTGCTCTCAAAATCTCTGAAGTCCTAAGAGCAACGTCTTATATTTATGTATGGGAGGAAGAGTTGTTTTCTTTGGTTTCAGAATTTCCATTACAGCAGTAGTATGAGAACAGTTTTATTACACCAATATTAGTCAGGGTATGAGGGAGTTCCTGTCAGAGAAAAATGTTTAATATATAGCCTAGAAATGTTGCAGGCTGTGAGAGCTGTCTCCTGTACACATAGTGTGCAGGCATTGGATGTTCTGCAGAGAAGAACAGAGGTAGTCTGTTCTTGTAAAGGCTTTCATTTGCTTTGAGACAAGGCTCCCTACATAGGTAAAAATCCTTTTAAATATTAGTGCAGCTTGAAAGAGAAATGTCTAACTAGTGTGCTCATTGTTTGTACCAATTTATGACATGCTGGTGTATTATACTATGATTCTGTAAATACCAAATTAAAGACCTATCTTTTGAGGAGTGCAATGACTGCAAATAAAAAGAAAATATATGCATATTGACATAGATATGTGTATTACACTGTTTCAGAGTGCTTGTGTTACCTAAGAGCTGTCTTAATGAAGGTAATTATTTCCTTGTTTGAAAACCAGGGTCAGCAAAGCAACTTGTTTAAATAATTTGTCTTGGGTGTGTTTGCACCCAAGTACTTCTCTTACCCTAGGTATCTGATCTTTTAAGAAAAAAAAAAAAAACCCAGCAAATCATGAGTGTGTGTGTGTGTATAAAATTATAAACTGGAATGAAGAGTAGCTGAGAGAGGAGTTCACATATATTGCAGCCAGAGTGAGAGAAATTGTCAGTTTTGGGTTGGGCTTTTTCATCAAAAGGGTATTGTTACACAGTGAACGGAGGAGACCTAAGTGAGTCAAGTATATGTTGAAAATGTCACAGTTGCAAAGTAAAAATTGATTTCTTTGTCTACTTGAAAATTAACATTCTTATTCTTTATATTGATCTGAAGTTTGGTGCATCTGTGGAAGGTACAAGACAGAAATGCTGTTCTAAATGTGAGGTCATTGGAGTAAAGGCTTTCCAGGACAGTCACACTATGAAAGTCTGTTTTTGCTGTGTCTTAAATCGGTAGTTTTTGGTAAGCGAGAGAGACGCTCATAAGCATTTACTCTGAAAGATCAGCAGAAAATGCTAGCTGACTGGCCCAGCTGTCATTTGGATGGCCTGTTTAGGTTGAGGTTGGCACTGATTTCAATCCTCAATATCCCCAATGCTTCACCATGATAAAGATGTTTTTGTCATAGAACTTTTGGTACCCTACTGCCTGTGCACTACATGCAGAAATACATATGGAAGGAGAAGACATAAGACAAGAAGGTGCAGATGTTTGTCCTTTATGTCCCTGTGTCCCTTTAAAAGCAGTGATGTAGCAGATCAGGGAAGTGAACGTGAGCTAAAACTAGTGAAGCTTTGTTTTTGAGAATGAGGTTTACCCTTCTCCTGTGTATTGTATTTTGTGTTGAGGGGAAAAAAAGAAGTCGAGGTATTGCCACATCTTGCCTGTGATTTGTCACCTATGCTGTGAGTTTCTGTGTGCTCCACGCGTTTCGAAGAATTAATCAAAGCTTCTTACAACTTAGTATGAATAGGAGAGAGAGAAGTACTAATTAGGAATTGCATATTACCTTTATATTCACACATCTCAATTACAATTTTACTCTGCTGATTTATTGTAGTTATAGTGTCTTTCTAGAAATATCATTTTTCTTTCTACTGAACTCCATATTAAAAAGACTTTAATTGAATTTCTGCATTTAAATATTTAAGCTATTCAGTGCTATTTTTATACCTATAGTTCAATACAACTAAGACAAAAAGAAAAAAAGCTAAGTACTTGCTTGCTCTGCTCAGCTTTAATTCTGCCCTCTCAAAAGAAGAGGTACGTTATATTGCCTAGCTCTGCCTTTGAACTACGCTATAGAAAAAAGCGTTTAAAACTTCTTTACTTTCAAGCCTTGAACCACCTCCGTGGAACAAATGCCACACTTTCTAAATCATTCCCCTTTAGGTGTTTGATTTTCTTGTTTATCCTTCTGTAACTGACAGGCTGCACCGTTTCCCACCTGATTTCTGCATTAGGAAATGGCATAAAAACTTTTTTGTGCTCTAAAATGAACACAGAACTGTTGATGGGAGCTACGCAGTACCTCAGGGATTTGAGGCAGTTGAATGCCAACTGTAGGGGAGCAGATTGAAGGCTGTATGAGCATGTATCCTGACATCCTCTTCTGGTTTTTCAGAAGTCTCTTTGGACTCTGTTGCGGACAGGTATAGGATACTACTGGGCAGCTGCACACAAGAATATGTGGGACTTTTGCTGGATTATGTTGAACGAAGTTTGATTGATAATACAATGCAGTAGTGAAGAGTAGTCAATAGTATTCACATACAGCTTTGTTTGTTTGGTCAGTTCTCCGTGCTGTTATTTATTTTGATTGTTTTTAAATGAAGCAGTCAAATCTGCTATTCGACATGCGTATGAGTGGCATTGGTATAGAGCAAATGTGTAACCCCTGCCTTAATGCTTAACTGCTTCCTGAAGAAACGGAGCAGCATTCCAATGCACGTGCTGCAGCTGCATGCTAGGCTCAGTGGTCTGTCTACAGTGGATAAAGGAACTAAACACCTCTTCTAGCATAAGTGTAGCCACTTCAAAATATTGAATATATTTAAATTTAATTCTGTTGCACATATTAATGGCATGTATTTCCTTCCAAATTTATGCCCCTCGAATAAAGTTCTAGTAAAAAATCCAACATAAAAAAGTAAAATAAAAAGGTATTTAAAGGACATCTGCAAAATATTAGAAATATAAGTGACTATGCTCCCATAAAAATTATCTTTCCTGAAATACAGGACTATTGAAATTTCAATTTGCATTTTGAAACAGACCTTTACAGAGCTCTTGAGATATTAATTTATATTGCAGAAATACTTCAAAATGAAGTTATTCATTAGCTTAGTAAAAGGAAAGTGATGAAAATGCAGGAGAGTTCAACATTTATTATTGCCTATAGTTTCCTTTCTCCTTTTGATTTCTAACGCCCCCCCCCCCTTTTTTTTTTTTACTTTGAAGACTTTGAAAGACATATTTGAAAAAAATCAAAACGAGAAAAGTTATTGCTGAGAAGTTTTTAACAATCAATGATAGTATTAATATTTAGATATTGAAATAAGCAGCCTTAAAGGTTCTACTGTTTTGAGAAGTAATAGAGAAATGTAACACCATTGTAGTCATAAAATTCAAAGTCAGCATGTTAACAAATATTTTATCAGAGGTGTCTTGTTATACTGGTAAATAATCCTCTGAAAAAGTTCTTTCATGTCATGAAGAAAAATTTGGATGATCTGTCTTAGTAATTGCTGATGTTTTTTGTCTTGTATCTCATTTCTTAAGAAAGTAAGCTTATGTGCAACTAGTCTAATGTGTCTGGGCTGCTGGTCCTCTGCATGTCCTTCAGGAAATTATTGAACTGAGCTTTTCTGTATATTTGTAAAGCACTGTGGAAATGAATATGCTTTTGCTCTTCCTCCGTGGTTAGGCAGGGATATGTGGATTAGTAGTAGTGGTGCTCTTTTTGAGCATTTTGCAGTCTATATTCTCCACCACGTCCTGCCCATATATGTGTTACCTGGCTTAGCATTTTAGTACCACAGTTGTTTACTTTTGAACATTTTAGAATATGAAGTGAGGCAATTTGTATTCAGTTATTATTCAGTTTGTATTCAGTTACTTGCATATACTGTAGAGGAGGATTTTCATAGTTAATAGACTGAATGAAATAGTACTGATTAAAATTTGGCAGGGAAATCAAGTTAGTTTCTCTTCTTTTGATTATCATACCATAAGATCTTTAATGCGCAGACTGTTGGGTTGTCTTTCTTTACATCTCATTCCCTTTGAAGAATGCAGAACTGCTCAGTTGAACGTGCTGAGATAATACCAGTCTTAAGCATCTCAGAAACGTGTCATGTACTAGTGTGTTCTCATATATCTATTATCAGCTGTTTATTAGAATATAATACATTTTTCTAATGGAAATCTTTTCTGAGCAATATATTTTTTTCTATTCTGCAGGAAAAAGAAGAATTGATTGAAGAGTGGCAGCCAGAGCCACTTGTTCCTCCTGTATCGAAAGATCACCCAGCTCTCAACTATAACATTGTTTCAGGGTAAATTTAACTGAAGTGAATTATGTTTTTATTTCAGCTCAAACACTTGATAGCCATATTTTTAAATGTGAGATTTCTAAGTAAGGATTTCAATACCCTTAAAAGTTTTCATGAATGAATTGCCTTTATAGATAACAGCACAATGGATTTGCCACTGAAGTTAAGGTCTCCTCTGTGCAACCTTATCAAGGCAAACTTTTTAAGATAATATTTCTTAATTTATATGCTTTAATTCAGCAGTTTTTAAGATATTGGTGTTATCTTTGTGTTTATTTTGGGTCCATATTGTTTGATTTTAATTTGTCTTGTTTTATTTGAATATTAGCGTAGGCTTAGAGGTCCAAAGGTGGTTACCGACTTTTGCAGGGTTGGGATTAAGGGGACCGTATCATCACAAAACATTTCAGAAGAAACTAATTTTGTGGCTAGCCATTTGGTACATCATCATCAGTAGTTCCTTTTAAAGGTGGTAGATTTGGACAATCCAGATGGAGATGCTTGACGGCAAAGTTGTTTTGTAAGGAAGTTACGGGTCACCATTATTTTCTTATGTGTTTTGAGGCTTATAAAAGCATCTATTTTAGCCAAAAGCCATGATTTAGCCACGAGTCACAGAATTTCAGAAATTGCTTTGAAATTTCTTTCCCAAGCTTCAGCTTTATGTTGGTAACTTAGAAAATGTAAACATTCTTAATATCCTGCCAGTCACACTAATATTTTAAAATAATCTAGTGACAGAGCACAATCATTTGCTCTCACAAGGAGCTCCATTTTGATGGCTCAGCCACCACAGTGAAGAAATGCCTACTGTGAAAAAAGAATGCCTGTTTTAATTGACTTCTGTTATATGAAGAGTGGATTCCCCCCTTCCCCCCCCCCCATTATTGTTCAGGATTTTGAAGCAAGCAGTACCTTAGAGTAAAAGGAGGGTTTCGATGTTCTGATCTTTTTATTGAAAAAAACACAAATAAATCTTTTATCAGAAAATGCGTAAATTATTTAGAACCTTCCAGTGCAGGAAACATTGCGATAGAAGGTTAATATGCTGTGGCTGTTAGACTTAATAGCAGCTATGGGGACAACTTGGCATCTGTCTGGTAAAGTTTAGTCTGCCAGCTAACCACCTTCCTGTAAGCTGCGGAACAGCCATGAGTTTGAAACTTGGCCTATAAACTTAGGCCCCATTTCAGTTAATACAGAAATGAAAGTTTCTTTATTCTAATTGCAACTCAAGAGCATTTCTGTCCCCTTTTTAATTAGCGTTTTAGGAGGAACCATATTGATGCTAGTGAGGCAGGCCTATTTCCCTGATTATCATGTGTTATTATCTTCTGGTGACTTAGGTATGTCTTAATTATATTAGTTTGTGGTAGTTTAATACTGCGTATTTGATGTAATATGTGAATTTGGTTTGTATAGGCTCGTGACTACTCTAGGAAGTATTAAATATTTTGGTAAAATCTTAAAAATTATTTTGACCAACCAGAGGGAGGGGACAGACTTCTTCCTCTCTCAATGTGTAAAACACCTTATGTCTCGTGTTTTATCTGTTAACATGCTTTTTTCTGCTCAACAATTTTTTTTTACTTAAACAAGATTCCAGTGATGTATGTTGCTGAATGATAAGCAAAACTGTGATAATACAATGATGTCTTAAGAAATATGTTATGCTTGGGGAAGGGAGATGAGGGAAACTATGAAGAAATTCATGTTTTTTCCTCTTGCAAAGACTTGTTCATGTTGTTTTTGAGATTGCGAAGAAGGCTTTATGGTATCGTTAGCATACATATTTTGGGTATAATTATTTACTGGACTAAATTTTTCCATCAGTGGTTTCTGTCTAACCACAAACGTTCCTTTAGAAGACTGGGTAAAAATCTGATAGCGAAATATGGCCATGTTTTGATGAGGAGTGCAGCTTTGTCCTGGGCAAGTTGTTTGTGAACGTTAGTATATGTTCTAGGGTTGAGAAGCAGTGCTGGGGAGGCAAATTACTTTACATTTACCAGGTTAATAGTGTTCTGGGAATATACTGATCCTTGTGCTAATGCCCAAATGCATAGGTATAGACCTACTCTAACAAGCATCTGTGAACCTAAGGAGCTGTTTGACTTCAATAGGGCATCAACATGCGGTACAGCTGATTGATGAGCCAGACTGAGGAACTGATGCAATTTTAATTTTAAAGGCGATTGGCTCCCCAAGTCAGTTTGCTGCACATTTGTATAATGTTACTGCTGTGCAGGAGGTGCATTTTAGTAATGCAGAACTGCTTCTTTCAGCTTTGTCAGTTTAACGTGATAGAATGACAATGATAAAGGTGTATGGCACATTCAGTACATTAGCTGAAAATTTCCTGAAGCTGTTTCGCAAGGTTTACGGTTGCTTGGTCAAAGCAACATATGCTTAATCTTCAAAGTGAACAGGTTAAAAATTTTTTTGTGTGTGTTGTTTTTTTCTATTGATGTTCAGCCTCTTCAGCATTGCGAGTAACTTTGGCTTAAACTTTGTGTTTACTTGGCACACATTGACCAAATGTACCCATTAAAGTATTGTCAGCAACTAGATTTTGAGCAGCTGTGTGCAGACATTTGATATTTCACAGAATCACAGAATGGTTGAGAGGTTGGGAGGGACTTCTGGAGATCATTTAGTCCAAATCCCCTGTTCAGGCAGGGTCACCTAGAGCACATTACCCAGGATTGTATCCAGACAGCTTTTGAATATCTCCAGGGAAGGAGACTCCACAACCTCTCTGGGCAACTTGTTCCAGTGCTCAGTCACCCTCACAGTGAAGTTGTTTTTCCTCATGTTCAGATAGAACTTCCTGCGTTCCAGTCTGTGCCTGTTGCCTCTCATCCTATCGTTGGGGAGCACTCTTTAGTTTTGAGCAGCACTGCTTAATTTTGATTGTTTATGAGAACTGCATGATGCCACTTTCCACATAGGAAAAACTTGTTGAAACTATTGTTTTTGAGAAATACTATAGGAGCTCAATATTTGACAACACATTTGGAAATGGGCAGATGTAAGGTTTTGCATTCAGACATAGCTTTGAGACTTCTCAACACTTTGATTAATTGAGGTTTTGAGGTTTGTAATGTTAAACTGCATAGTTGTTGAAACAAGGTGGGTGTTGGAGTACAGAATATGGGTGTGATATTTATATTTAAAGGGGTAATAGCTATTTTTCTTTATTCTTTAAGTCTTGAGTAATTGTTTATCTAAACCATAAAGTAACTCTTCACTCATAACTGTAGATATCTCTAATTTTTTTAGTCCTCCCACTCATAAAATCACGGTTAATGGCAAGGAATGTATAAACTTTGCATCATTTAATTTCCTTGGACTTCTGGATAATGAAAAAGTTAAGGTGAGTGCTTGCTGTTATTGTGTGCTGGTTCTTTTAGTTTGTGTGCTAACTTGAAATTAGGGATGACTTCAGAAAGCATAAACTTTGTCAAGGAACTTCTTGCTACTTTTAAAGTAACAAGAAAGATTATAAATCTTGTAATTTTGTGCTATTTACATTTGTCTTTTTTTCTAAAATTTTATCTGATGTGCCTGTTTGGAGTTGTCAGTTGTCACGTTAGATTAGTATCTACTGTCAGTTGTCAATAGAGCACAGTGAATGATGCTTAAACATTCATGTAAAGTAGCTGTGGTGTGAAATATATTCACAGAATTCAGTACACTATTATACTTTCTGTGAAACTGGTTATGTTACAGTGCAAGAACTAGTACACGTACACTAGCATGAAGTTGTGTGAATTGTATACAAGCGTTGGAGATCCATTTTAGGAATAAATATTTCATGTATTTCTCTTCTGTTGAAGAATGCAGCCCAGGCATCCCTGAAGAAGTATGGTGTTGGCACCTGTGGACCTAGAGGATTCTATGGTACTTTTGGTCAGTTACTTTTTTAAATTTACATTTAAAGCTGTTCAGATTGGGTTAGTGACTTGGACCAAACAGTCCTGTATATAGACAGCAAATTATTCCTCTCCCTCTGAAGAGCAAATATCCTCTAACAGTGTGGATTTTGTTTTTACTGTAATGGTAATGATTGGCGGCATCTATCACTGATAACAATGTTTTTTATTGATTTCTATGCTTTTTCTCACTCTGTCCTTTCAGTATTGCTCTTGGAGGAAATTTACAAAGTTAAATATAGTCTGCTTTAGTTTTGACTGCAGCAGTAGAGAAAAAGAGTATATTAGAGTCTAATCAACTATGATGAATTTGTGAGTGCCAGTTAGTAATATGCTTTTAAATAGGCCACACGAGGGCAGTCTGATCTCTGGGTTCTGTGATAAAGCTTATTAGTTAAGTTCATCTAATGCTGTAGTAAGAATGAAATTTTCTTTTATTTGTGACCTTAATGTTTTAACTAAGAGGTTTTTATGGTGCAAGAGGGTGTTGCTGAAGGTTTTTTTGTTCTTATTAAGAAGAAGCAACTTAAATATCAGCCTCTGGAAATGATTCTTTATAGATGTCGGTATTTTGAAATAGGGACTGGAAACCGAACAGTAATAAATGAATAGCTGCACAGCTGTGGGCTAAAAGCATTGATTTGTTGTCTTGTGAGCTTTCCTGACACTTCCCAGAAGTGATGGAATTTGCAGCATGTTTATACTCAAATGATTTCATAGAGCTAGACTTGACCTGAATTCAGCATAAGACTAACTTGGATTTTTTCAGTTAATCAAGCTAGTCTTTTCCATGGTCATGCTACATCTATTTTGATTTGATAACTACTCTATATATCGGAACAAAATTGAGTCTTTGACCATCAATCTTAAAGACCATTCATTAGTCTGGAGGTATAATTCTTTTCTAAACAGGGTCATGGTAGCCTGTTGATTACTAGTGAGGTTTTAGGAAGCTAGGTTCCCTCAGTTGATCACAGTTCAGCAGTAATCTCTGGGAATTCATTCAGTCTCTTTAAAAAAAACAAACAAACAAACAAAAAAAAACCTGAATAGCTCAAGGGAACTTGTGGACTAATGCTTCCTGCTCTTTAAGTGCAGCCTGATTCTAAGTTTAGTGGAATCTTCCACTTTGGTCCTTCTTTTTAGTAATTATTTGAAATAGATTGTGATTAAAAGTTGATTGTCTCTAGTGAATGAGAGATTCTTCAGGTTGTTTCCTGCCTCTTAGTACTGTTCATTGGCTTTTGAATTCATTACGTAAATGCCTCATTTTACAAAGCGGGAGGTACAATCTGTGGTATTGCTGCATGGCGTCACTAGACAAGAAATGATGTTATTGACCACTTTCTGATACTGTGTTTTACAAATAAAGTAATTGAGAATTGGTTTCAGATTTGAGACAAACACCCACTACTCTGATTAGATCCCAAACTGGCTTCCCATTTCTCCTTGTCATTAAACATTAAAGTATTGCAGGATTATTAATCCTGGATATGAAACACTTGTTATTTCCATGATGTTGGACCCATCAAAAGCTTTTTTGCAATTATTCATGCATTCTGACTTTGGTAAGTGAGTTATGTTGTGTCTAGAGCTACATAGTTTCACACTTGCTCCCAGTATGGGATTTAATTGATGACTGTCAATAGTTCTCGCTCGGAATTAGTCCCTCTTAGGGGCTGATATCTCATATCTCACTAGCAGCAGTCTCTTCTTCTTGGAAAGGTAGATACCATGTTCTAATTTATTCTGAGTGGAAACTTGATTCTTTGTATTGCTGCCTGTTTGAAGAGTTTTCTTAGATATAGTGGGATCCTATTAAGAAATTTTTGCTTTTTACTCTGCTGTATCCCTGAAGGCTGCATTCCATGCCTTTATCCCATGCTAACCTTGAAATGTCACCATATTCACGCATGACTCTGAATCTGTATGGTAATTTTCTCCATATTGAGAAGGTGAGGGTTTGTTTGAGGGGGAGGTCTTTTTTTAAACGTTTTTGTAGGTTGCCTAGCAGCCGTCACTTCAGTACTCTATGAAAATGAGGATAAAGATGGGCTAGCAGAAAAGGTATATAAAAGGAGATGTGGGCTTTGGTCTCAATAGTTTTACTCTTGGCTTGAGTGCTAGCGCATGCTAAACTCTACACTGGCACTTTTCTGCAGTTGTTGACATTACTAGCTATATTAAGGTTTCGTAAGTATGCAGAAGGATCTTCTACTCATATCTTGCTCTGTGCAAATATACTGTAGTTAGTGATTGCAGCTCTCCCGTTAGGTAAGCTAATGCAACTAATGTAACCTGACTGAAATAACTAAAGCAAATTATTTGATTGAAGAATAGATGAGTTGGATGGTATCCTGTTTTTATTATGATGGAATGGCAGTGAAGCCTTAACTAATGTTGCCTTAGGCTTTTTGAATTCACAAGTTTAACAAAGCATCCGTTTTCTTATTTGATGTTGTATCAGCTGTATTTATGTTGTATCTTGCACTTACCTGCAGTTTTTGCCTTCAGTAGACTTAAGTATTCTTATTCTTGGCAAAATTTACCAGGCTTGTAAAATTCCTTTTTTTTTCCTTAGTAGCATCTGATTATATTTGCTTGCTGGTTGTTGCTTGCAATATTTCTTTTGCCCGCTATTTTATTCTAGCCCCTACTCAGTGCGGTGTTTGTTATTGAGCGAAAGCACAGTGAGGAGCATGCAAGTTTTCATTTTTAACTGGATGATGATCTCTTCATCTTTTCAGATCAAGTATATTAGTTGAAAGGTGTAGGTCATCTTTTACTCTCAAACAAAGTATTTTTTCCCATTAGACACCAATAACTGGTCACTCAGAGTAATAGGTTAGTCCTTATTCCCCTTGATTTGTGATTCTCAGCTGACAAGGCTTCAAAAAGGAGCGCTTTGGGGTGAATGTTGTTTATGCTACATGTTTTATATGCCATGTGGCCCGCCTCCTTTTTTGGTGCTTGCTGCCAGAAAAAAAGATCCTTCCTGGGCTTTTGGTTCAATAATTGAATCAAATTTCATACTTTTTAAAGCCTGGCTGGAGATTCAGTTTCAGTTCATAGGTCCTGAAGTTCGTATAGAAATGAAGAAAAAGATACAAAGACTCTCTCAGAAAGTAGAAGATCAGTATCCTTCCTTTTAAATCTTTTGGAGAAGAAAAGCTATTTTAGGTTTCTCTGAATGTATTTAGTTTAGCTATTACAGCTGGATCAAAGTGATAGGTAGAAAAAGAAAACATTAAAAGAAGAATAGGTGATTAAACTTTTGCTTTCAGTTAAAACAAAATCAGAGAAAAAACAAATAAAAATTCTTCTTCATTCCACTTTTGATGCTCAGCTAAATATTAGGAGAAGATAGTTAAAGTCTTACAGTGTATAGACTGTAGATAAAATTGCTCTCGACTGTGACTGGGAGTCTGATGTTTCAAGATATATCCTTTGCTGTTGTTGTAAATATACAGGTGAATGTGCCCTTATGGGGAAGCGATATGTTATTTGTGTTTCATATGGCAAAGTTAAGATTTTTACAAAACCCTTTCTTGCTGCACCCCTACTGGCTAGAAATAGCAACACAGGAGTAACCATGCCTCATAGGCTATTGAAGGATCTGTATGTTCAATTGGTGTTTGTTCATTTGAACTTAGTTTTGATGCACTTTGGATAATTGCAAAAAGATAACCTTTGGCCGGAGGTAATCTTACAAGTCACACTTGATCTATTCTAAGGACCTCTATTGGCCCGTAAGTCCCCCGTCGTTTCTGGTTGTTAAAAGGTGTAATTCCTTGACTACCATGTTTGATAGTAGAAGCGCCTGGTGGCAAGATAGTTGCATAATTAAAATAAGTTTGGCTGATGTAGGTTGTCTTGCTTAGGCAGAGTACTTAAGTCTGTGGTCACCTTTCTGCTTCTGCCTGCTTCTGAAGTACCTCCACTCACCATATGGTATTGCCCTTAATCTTTTGATTCAGTGTTTTGTTTCTAACCTGGATCATTTTGACTGAATTGATTTGGGAAATGTTTGTATAATTTTGTCAATTGATCTTAAGGGTGAGTAATCTCTGGCATTCGGATGATGACCTCTTCAGTTAGCTGAATTGCATTCAGGACATGGTATGTGATTGCAGCCTGACAAGAGCAATTTCCAATTATAGTGATAGCCATGCTAGGTGCAGTGAAAGCTTCAGCTTGGAAAAACTGATGGTCTGCCAACAGGACCTCGTTAACTGCTATAAATTAAACTGCTGTTTATTGTCTGACTGTAGTAACTGTGCTCCCTAGTCACAGACCAGGAAGCCTGCCTCATGTGCTTGTGGTCTAATCACAAATAGACTTTTAATTACCAACGTGAGAGCACCACATTACTTAAATATTTTCATATCTATCAGAGCTTCTGATTAATAGTGGTTTACTTGTCAGTTTAAGTAAGAGTGGATTGACTGTAGCTGTTTTTTGGTAAGTTATTTGTTGTAATGCTGTTACTACAATTAAACAATCATTAGATGATTATTGAAGCAACCATAATTAGTCTTTCTGATAGAAAAGCAATTCAACTGTCTAAGTTTGCTTTAATTTTTCTCTCAAATAGATGTGCACTTAGAATTAGAAGAACGACTCGCAAAATTCATGAGGACAGAGGAAGCTATTATATACTCATATGGATTTGCAACCATTGCCAGTGCTATTCCTGCATATTCAAAAAGAGGAGACATTGTGTTTGTGTAAGTACTGTTTTCTTCTTAAATTCCAGATTTAGGAGTCCTCTTTTAAATTTTTTTTTGATTACTGTGGGTCGTATTAATTTAACCATTTAGAAAATAATGCTGTTTATATGACAAAATACTTAAACAAAAAGCTCCTTTTTTTTTTTTTAACCAAGTACTCCAAATACAATTCAGTTGCTGCTTTTTCAAGGACGAGCAGACTTGGACCCTCAGCTGGAAAGCAAGGTCTGTGTATACAAGGGTGTATGGAAGTCTGATAGTAACTTTCTTCTAAAGAAAATGTATAGTCGTATGTGCTTTTCTCTTATTTACTGTTGGCTTTTCACCTTTCTTGCAAGCCAATTGTTCCCCTCAGGCATTTTTGCAATGGACTAGTTGGATAAATATCACTGTGGATTAACATAGTGATAGAACAGCTATACTGGGTCAAATCAAGGATTCAGCAAGCCCAGTATCTGTCTGGTTGCTGAGAGTAGCCAGTAGCAATTTGTCTAGGGAAGAGTAAAATACCAGGAGAAACAGAGTGTAAAAACACTTAAAACTTTCTGAACCAAAGGGGAGGTTTTTGGGTTCAATAGATCTTCATGGATTTTTCTTAATTTTTCCTATTGTTTTTGAACCAGTAGAAATGTTTACTATCCAGAGTGCGCCTCTGGCATATAATTTCACAGTTGAACTGAGCATTGTATGAATAAATATCTTAATGTTGAATGTAACATCTACTAGTTTCAACTGATGTGTTTGATTTTTATAAAAAGAGACAGCGAATAGTTGTTGTTTGCCCATCTTCTACATACCACAGATACTTTTATAGTTGTCTACCATAAAACATTTTCAGTTATCTTTTCTAAGTGTAAGATTCCTAGCTTAGTAGACTTCTTGTATAGAAATTCTTTCATAACTTTGATCATCTTTTTTGGCCATCTTTGAACACCTTCAGCTTTTTTTTTTTTTTTTTTTCCTTTTTTCCTCCTCCATGTTTTTTTTTTTTTTTTTTTTTTTTTTTTTTTTTTTTTTGAGATGAACAATGAGAAATGCACACAATACTCGAGATGCAGGTGCATGCTGGATTTAGCTGTCGTCTTATTGTTTCAGTTTCTCACTAGCAAAAAGATCTTCTTCCCTTGTTTAAGAAGCAGCTTGGTTGAAATTATTGCATTTAGCATGTGCAGGAGGTTTGCTTTAGTTGCCCCTCTTAAATAATTATTGGGTGTATGCCGCTGTGAAATAGCCACTTCCCCCACCCCCTTCCCCATAGGAATACTGAGATAATAATTCCCAAAGAGTATTAAAAATCAGGTTTTGAATACTCTGAAGACCACTGTAAATGTTATAGGCACATCCTTGTGCTTTTCTGCTAAGACCCAGAGCAAATGGAAAGAGAGCTTTTGGGATGATTACCAGGGAATTGTACCCAGTCCACGGAACGTTGTACTCAAATGAATTGTTGTCACATACAACCAAAGGACCAGTGCACGCTTCAAGAAGACCTCTGGGTTTGTTTTCAGTAGTTATAGTGTATAGAAAAGTTGAGAAGCTTTGGAAATAAGTCTTCAGAATGTAAATAAAATATACAATGCTTTAACAGATCTGGTTGTAACTACACCTGAGTATAGGTATTAACTCAAAAGAAGAACAGTCCTAAAAAGATCATTAGCCAGCTTTCTTCTTTGAATAAATGCTAAACCGAGTGCAAACTTAGTTTACTGTATTTACAGAGATGAAGCTGCCTGCTTTGCTATTCAGAAGGGATTACAGGCGTCTCGTAGTAACATCAAGTTATTTAAGCATAATGATATGGCTGACCTTGAACGACTGTTGAAAGAACAGGAGACTGAAGATCAAAAGGTACGTTTCCTTTGAAATGTTTGTGCTCTTTTGTGCCCTATCACCTTTTCTTTTTTTTTCTTACTGGGTTCTCTAATTGAATGGACGCAGTGCTTATAAACAGTTATCTCATTTTCCTAAATCTCTGTTGAACAGCTGATGTTGCTTATGTAATTAAGATCATTTTTTACATTTGTCATTATAACTACTGGAAGTAAACTCATAGGCTTTAGCGGCAGGGGACATCACTGTGGGCAGATGACTGAAGTATGGAAATTCTTTGGTACTCTTACATGGTTTTTGTCCTTTAGATACTTGTATAACTGCTTTTACCTAAAAATTGTACCCATATTATCCGTTTGAAAGCCATACAGTAAAATCAACACAGAAGCAGTGATGCTAGTCACTGTGATTTAAGTGTGATTTATAGAAGGAATGTAATTTTGTTTGTTTGTTTGTTTTTTCTTTCACGTCTCCTCAGTCAGTTATCTATCTTGCACTGAACTCTTACGATGTTTTCTCTCTTTAAAACCTATATTTGGGGTCAGCTTGATGACTGACTTCATACTCTGGCAGTAATACAGAGGGGTATCCAAAAGCAGCTACTAAAATCAGCCTCAGCAAGTCCAGATAACTTGTGTGTACGAGTTTTAAAAGAATCTGCTGAAGAACTAGCTCCGTTACGTCCCTCAGTCACAGAATGCTGGGGAAGTTGAAGACGACTGGAAGAAAGCTCATGTTGTTTTAACACTTAGAAAAAGTAAACTAGATAAAGTGGATAATTGTAAGCCAATCAGCTTAACATCAATCGAAATCAATAATAGATCTGATTAATAGCAAATTTAAAGAAGCTAGTCTACATGCGTTTATGGAAAATGCATCTTGTTAAATAATCTTTACATGAGATTTTAGATTTAGTTGACAGAGTAGTGTTGTGATCTGTCTGCATAACACACTTGGTTTGTTGGAGCAGAGTGCTTTGGCTAAGCTATGTGATTAAAGTTTCTTAATGTAGCTAGCTGAATGTGAACGTAAGTTGGGGGCCAGCAAGCTTAATGTAGTCCATATGTGTATAATCAAGACATCCTGAGTAGGAAGGGGTAGGTCTTACTGCTAGAGGTGGGGCAGCTTGAAAAGTGGGCTGTACCTGGTTTTGGTACCTGCCACTTAGGAAAGACAAACGTTCTTTAAATCTTTTCCCAGGAACTGGAAAAGGTGATAAAGCTTAAATCCTATTGGTATTTTCTGATCTAGGGCATTAAAGTAAGTAACAAGGGAACCATAATTTGAACATCCTTTCATTTTATGTAAAGGTTTAGCACAATCAAATGATAAGAAATTAAAACTGGGCAGTGCTGAAGAAATAAGTGGTGAATATTAATGCTGAGGGTAGTGTAACCCGTGGAACAACTTACGGTTTTTCCATTGCTAACAGTTTTTGAATAGAATGTCATTTTAGAACAGCAAAAGTCAAATCCTACGATCACAGTTTAAACAGAAACCAGTGCAGGATATTCTTATGGCCTTTATTATCCAGAGACCAGACTGTGACTTGAAAGTTATGAATACTTCTGGATCTTGTCTTGTGAAGTCAACTGCTTCTAAGAGGATTGTGCTGCATTGAGAATCCGGTTGCATAAACCAGTTGTTGAAAAGCCTTCTAAATGCTCCGACTAATGAGGGAACAGAGCTGTTCTGAATGTAGTAGAGACCTGGATTTGCAGTATTTGTTCTGTACTGTATTGTTTCTATTTTATGCGTAATGTTCAAATTAATTGGTTATGGTTTAAGTTTCCTTGTTTTGTAACAAATTTTGTGTAAGAGTTAGAAGTTTTAAAACTATTAGAAAAATGAAGAAAAATAGTCCAGTGACACATTTCAACCTCTGTTACAAATGATAAATACTAAATTTAGACTAAAGTAAAAACTGACTTTAAAAGGAGACATTATCTTCCTTCCCTTCCCGTTACCTCCTTCCCAAAAAACCGTCAGAGCTTCATTTGTTAGTAACTGTTGATATGAACTGAAACCGTATCTTTCTCTGAAGAATCCTCGCAAGGCCCGTGTAACTCGAAGGTTTATTGTGGTGGAAGGATTGTATATGAATACAGGAGATGTCTGCCCTCTTCCAGAATTGGTAAGTGGTTTGAGTTTGCTTTTTAAACTTTGTGTATGAACACACATGACTAATAAAACAGTAATATTGTGCAATTAAGCCTACAAAGAAAAGCTTTGGATATAATTTTCAATTTATCTCCTTTCTTTCTCAAACATTCATGAAATGGGGATCCCAGACTGACGTTTTATGGAAACTCCTGATCAGTAAGTAGTAATAGACTGGGAAATAAATATCAAGTTAAGGTCTTAGTTTTCAGCCTGTAAAATCTACTATATTCTCAAAAGCTATGTGAAACGGAATTGTTAAACTAAAATTATATCAAAAAAAATACAGAATTTCAAAGAAATCTTCACATGGCGGTAATAAACAGTGACTCCAAGGAACACGTTTATTATTCAACATAAATTGGCTTGTTATGCAGCCTGTAGGTCAAGAAATGCTGTGAAAGCGTATTATTTTGAAAGTGTTTGATAAACTTTGTTTCTTCTTGATAGGTTATTTTTTTGTACGTGACCTTTGGCATTTATGAAATGTACTCTTTCTTTAGTGTTAAACAGCATGGGAACGGTTAGAAAACTTTTTCCAGGTCTTAACGACAGAACTCAACTCTAGAGCCGACATCTTTGCAGTATTCAGGATACTGTAGTTGCCTGTATTTACCTTGTCTCCCCCACCCATTTTGTTACCAAATTCTGATGAGTTTGTCCTGTGTTTTGTATTATTTTCATTGTTTTAGATAAAACTGAAGTATAAATACAAAGTTAGAATTTTTTTGGAGGAGAGCCTTTCCTTTGGAGTCCTTGGGGAGCATGGACGAGGAATTACTGAACACTTTGGCATAAATGTAAGTGCCATTTTCTTGCATTTTTTTTGTTGTAAACAAGAGACCTGTAGAGAGGCAAATTCTGCTACTGGTTTCTTGTGGCATTAACAGTATTTACTAGTGTATGACGGTATCCTTAACATGCTTTTCCCTCTGTCCAGTTATCAGCAGTAAAGTGTTCAGGGCTTGGCACTATTTTCTTTCACCCACTTACTTGAAATATTTTTTTACAATATGTATCTTTAGTGAGGAAGATAAACAAAGGAATTTTTACAGTGCATAATTTTATACTTTTTTTTGGTGCTCAGTGAAATGACGGTTGTAATGTTTTCCAGCTCCATATGTCTTTGGGAGTTAGGGGTAAGTCAGAAAAGTCTTCTCAATGGCCACTTCCCAATGCCCACTCTGGTCTACTGCCTTGACTCCAGGGTAAAAAGAAATGGGAGAAAGCTTTTGTTAGTCCCTTTTTGTTAGTCCTTTCAAAGGTGTTGTCCTACTCCTTTACTGGCAGATTCAGCCAAAATATTTTCCCAACACAGCAAGTGTGTCTTTTATGGTTTTTCTTCTGCTGAGGAGTATTGACCTAGAATGATTTATATATTTTGGAATCCTTGCAGTTCTTTTCTGCCACAACCACCTGAGCTGGGGAAAGAAGAAATGCTCTTTTGGCAGCCAGTGTCTCCTCAGTGTGGAGCATCTTTTACTTGCCTCCTCAGGGCAGTGTCAGAGTGCAGCTAAGAAGTCGCATATCTAATTATGACATTTCATCTTCTCCCTGCTTTATACTCCTACTCCTTCTTTGTTTTCACTTTAACTGATCAATCCAGAGTGTGGAAAAGTGAACATGAATGATAAACAGCTTTAGAAAAGGAAACAAACAGTGCTGCTGTGATGCTTGCCAACCACAATCTGATTAATTGGCTTATATGTAAAATACTTTCACACACACAGTCTTTCAGTCTTGTCTACTGAAAATAGAAATTTGTAGTGATGGTCATCTGTATGCATTACAGAGCGTGGCAAAAGTAACTTGTTTGTTTGCAACTAATGAGTGAAATAAGACAATTATGTCTCTGAGGTCCAAACTCTGATTTAACTAGGCTTGTGCTCAGTTTTAGTCACATAACTTATTGACTTCTGTGGGACTACTTAAATTTTTAAAGGACACCTTGCCAGTGAGTGCTTTGGAAGAGTCGTGGTCCATATCCATATAATTTTTTTTTTCTATTTGTGTTCTGTACATTGCAAAGCCTGAAAGAGTGCTCTGGTGTAAATTATATACAGAGCTATAAATGTTAATTTCTAAAGTCCCTTTTGTATAGTTTGAAATTATTTCAATTGCAGCTGCACTTGAATATGTGATTTCATGCTGGACATTCTCTAGTATTTATGATAATACAAAATAAGACACGTTTGAATGTATTTTATAGTAAGTCTTGATTTGATCAAAGCCGTTTCTTAATAACTTGTTAATTTAAATGGCAGATTGATGATATAGATCTTATCAGTGCAAACATGGAAAATTCACTGGCTTCTATTGGAGGATTTTGCTGTGGAAGATCTTTTGTTATTGATCATCAGGTAAGCCAAGTCTTATTTTTATATGGCAGGGCAGGATTAGTTACTGAGAAATAGGAGTGGTTTATTGACTTACAAGCTATGTTATGATACAAATTATTACACAGCATTTGATTCTATATAGAAACTTTCTTGTTCTGCAAAACTTTATAGACTGATAAGAGACCTACTTTAAATTTAAATACATTTACTTGTAAAACATTTTCTATATTGTTATATTGTTACAAACAAAACAGTGGATTTTTTTTTTCCCCCCCCAGCGGTTGTCTGGTCAGGGCTACTGCTTTTCTGCATCCCTACCTCCTTTGTTAGCTGCTGCTGCTATTGAGGCTCTGAATATTATGGAAGATAATCCAGGTACTTAATTCAGGAAAATCCTATTCTTCAATCTTTTTTTCACCCCAAACTAATAAATTGTATTTCTCTGTACTTTGATTCTTTACCTTTCTTTGTTTATATGTTCTCTCTCTTCAGCTAATCAGTTTTACACTTATAATTATTTTTCTTTTTATAACTTTCCCTCCTGCTTTTCTTTTTAATAACTTTTTTTTACCTCATCCTTCTCCCTGATGAAAATGAATTACTTGAGGCCAGAAGGGCCAGAGAAGGCAACTGTTGAGCTCCAGATAAGAAGTTATTGTTCTGCTTTACAGACTTATTGTCTGCTCCTTCCTTGAAAATAAGCGTCTTTAGGACAAATGGAGAAACGGAAATTTAAAGACAAAAGAGTAGGGAAATATTTCTTCAGAATTAAAAGACTCTTTCCTTTCCGCTTTCACTCTGGTGGTGGTGATTACTGTCGTTCTCCAAGTGAGCATCCAAGCAAGTATCTCAGGCAGGATTATGGCATAATCACTTCACGTTTTGACAGGACTAAGTACAGGACATTGGGATGAAGTTGGAAAGCTCTTGTTTCTAGAAGCTAAGAATGAATTTTGGGGGAAAGCGGTATAAGCAGAGACAAAACTGGCCAAATTGTGTTTGGTTTTTGAGATTTTTTTTTTGTCCTCCTTCATTACTACCAATAGGCCAAAGGAGATCTGCAGGGAGCTGCAGTATTTGATTTGTCACAAATAAAAAAAGAAAGAAAAATCCAAGCAGAAGGGTCCTCTGTAGTCCCTGCCTCGTCCTCAAAAGTTAAACAAAAAATTGAGAGTAGGTTTTGGGATTGCTAGCTGTGGTGAAGGGCTGACTTTTACTTAGGGAAGGAACCACGGTTTGCAGATACAGGAGTCAAAATTTCCTGTTTGAGAATCAGCAATAAGCAGGTGAAAGGATCAAGGAGCAGAAATCTGCTTGGCTGTAGATATTTTGTACAAATGTATAAATTGGATCAGTCATTTCAATCCCCCTGCTAAGTGTTTGTGTCATCCTTTCCCCATGATCATGAATGGGGAGCATTCATGCAGCAGGAGCAGAGATAAAGGGAAATAACGTGTCTGTCGGATCTTAAAAAGCCTGCCGTTTCATGGCAGAAATGGGAGTTGAAGAACATTATGAAGAGTAGTGAAGAGAATTAGTGCTTTAATAAATTAATTTTCTTTCCAAATGTTTTTCTAATCTTAGACTTACAGAAATGTAAAGCAGAAACAAGGTCTGAGTTTTTGGGAGTTTTGTTTGTTTGTTTGTTTGTTTTTTGTCTTGACATTTTTCAGATTCTCCAGGGAAAATGCAAGCGAATTCACAGAGCTTTACAAGGGTAAGCTGTTTGTTTGTTGTTGAGGGTGGGTTTGGGGTTTTTTTTGTTTGTTTTGTTGTGGGGGTTTTGTGCTGTTTATGGGAGTTTTGTGCTGTTTGTGGGAGTTTTGTGCTGTTGTCAATCTGTCCATCCCTTTATAAGCCCAACTTTAAAGAACTCTCCTTGCCCAAAAGTGTTTCTGATGTTACTGATGCTTAAACTGGAATTTTTAGATGTATTTTCTAAATCCCTCTATGGGTATTGAAATAAGAAGTGAAGAAGATGTTTACAAGCTCATAGATATTTAAGTCTTCAAGAAGGTGCAGCGATTTTTTTGATGGTGCTAAGTATTGATAATCATAGCTTAGTTGATACTATTTCAAATGGAAAAAAGCACCTTGCAATCAACTTGTATACGATATTGTTGTTAGATATGAGATTTGAATGTCTAATAGTATCAGAAGTATTGATTATTCTGAAGGCATAAAGCAAACTGCTAGCGTTTATCTGAAAAATAGGAATTCTGTTTAAAAATTTCCTAACAGTAATCTGTTTTAAAAGGTGGCTATATTGACTAATTGTATTTTTTTTTCTGACGGTATTTGATAGTAAAAACTATGGACTTTTCCCTGTCTATTCAATTACTATAGTTTGCAGATTAGATATATAAAACGCCTATATTTTACAATTCATTTTCTTCAACGTATATATTTCTGTTACATATACAGAAATGCATAAAAACTAAACACACACACTCCAAATCTATAATGCATTATTAATGGTACTGGCTTTTTTTTTTTTTTAAACACATTGCTCAGTTATTCAGTATGAGTTACTTGTTATCTCAAACAAGCATCTGTGTTTTGACAGCAGTTTACTGCTTAGCCCAATTTTTATGTTAGAACTTTTGTAACTCTCTTTAGCAACATTCAGTTTATAAGGAATAATCCTGCCATAAAATAATCAAAGTCTCCTTTTATTATGTTTTGTTTAAATAGCGGTTTGAAAACTCATAGACTTCCACATCAAAAACATACAGATGCTCCAGAATTTGAAATATTTTACAGTCAATTAAAAATTGTTAGTGTCTTTTCTTTACTAGTAACAGCATCTTATGAATGAGGTGAAAGGGAAAGTAATTGTAATGTTCTTCTATACTTGCCATTGTAAAGTGGTAATTATAAATACATTTAAAATGCAAGAGCAAACAGTGTGTAAGGAAATGATCAACCTTTTATTTGTTAATATCCACTACAAAACAGTACTGGATAACACATGGCTAACGCTTGATTATCCTCTGACTAATACTATCTTTTTTCCCTTAAATTCTTTCAGTGATGACTATAGTCACAAATTAACGAGTGGACAAAATAAGTGTCCTTAACAAGTGCCTAAGTGTCCTATAATAGGATTTTTCTATTTCTGCCTTATGGAAAATAGTGTGATAATACACAGGTCAAATTGCAGAAATTGCAAAGGGAGTTACTTCTTGGTCACGCTGGAAAAGAACTTGTAGGATTCAATAATATCAGATGATTGGGCGGCTTTGTAGCAGGTGAACTATCTCAGCAGGTGTATAAAGCAATATTGGAGGGAATGTTTGAACTAATATTTGCATGATCCAGTGTGATGTAGGCTTTTGTTTTGTTTTTAATTAGTAGCCTTGCTGCAAAATATGTGCAACTGTTTAAACAGAAAGCAAAGTTTTCAGAATATATTTTTTTTAATGTAGTTACATTAAACACACTCTTCTCCCTCAGTAATCCCAGCTACTGTTTGACTCCAGTTTTTGGTTGTGCTCTCCCTGAGATAGAATGGAACTGTCAGTTTAAAAGGGAGCATAAAAGGAGAATAGAACTGTGCACAAAGGAAGTGAAAAAGAATGCACAGCTTTTCTTTTTTCTCATAATAAAACAAGTGAGAGGAATATATTAAAAATAAAGAAAATTTGTCTTTTAGCCAAAGTGTAACAAACCTGTAAGTT